GAGCAGCATTTTTTTTTTTTTGCTGCTTAAAGCTGTTAAAAGTGGCGTGCTCGTTCCTGGTTTCCAGCATTCTACTTCTAAAAACAACAATGTCATTGGTGCTACAAACCTATGATTTTAGCTTAAGAATTGAGCTGACTTATATATACTCCACTTGTTACTTAGGAACCCTGGTTCTAGAATCGTACGTTTATTTCCATCAGTAGGAGCTACTCAAAATCAATTTTATGATTATTCCTGATGGTTGCATTGGAACTTCATTTCAATGATGCATAATAACTGTAAATATCTTCCATCAGTACATTCTGGCTTTTCCAGTGAAGCAAAGCAATTTTGCTGATTTTGCATACACCTTTCAGCAAAACTGAGCCTTTAGGATAGAGAAAAGAATAAAAGGCATGAACTAGGATGGGAATTTCTGCACAAGCCTATCTGGATGGCACCGATCTATCCTGAATTTCTTTGGGAGCCATTCCTATCTACTCCTAAAACAAGTCAATTATGTTATATATGCATTTCTGGATCTCACACACACCCTGACACTGCTAAAAAGATCACACTGTGATCTCATTCTGAACCAACTTCCCCTCTAGCTGGAATGCTCAGAGTAGATCTTGAGCTTTACAGAGGCAGGGGTGTTCAACTGGCAGTCATCTCCTCATTTGGCACCAGTTGCTCAGTCTATTGATACTGTGTATACTTATTATTTCCCCTTTCCTCAGTTCAAATCCCTGAATTTCTTTTAAAGCTTTTTAATTCTACAAACATCAGATGAAAAAATCAATGATTGCATTGTTTTGCTCCATGGTTAACCAAAGAATCTTTGCTCTACAGTTGACCAAAGCCTCTTTGCTCTGTTCAGTCCACCCCAAAATAAAACAAATACCTCTGATCTGCATTACTTTCCCATTTATCTGGAGTCAGCACACATCCCCAATCTGGATTAGTTGATCTGTTTTTTAGGGTGAGGATGCCATGACATCCTGTTCTTAACTGGATAGGAATGTTTTTGTTTTGAGATGGAAACTTACCGACATACTACTGAATGTTAAGAAAAGCTAGCCCAGCAAGAGTTAGGCAATATTGCTCAACTAAATGTTGCCATCTCGTGGCAATACAGAGGTATGGACAAACAAGATAAATGCTCTAATATTTTATCAGGGAAATCCTATATGGTCCCCAAAACAATACAAATGCAGGAACTGGTGATACCTTTATTGGACCAATAAAAATAAAAAAACTCCCCCCCCCAAAAAAAAACCCCAGCAAGCTTTCAATGATAATTCATCTTCTTCAGGCTGTGCACTAGGTTCTTGTGGGCAATTCCAAAACTGTATGCTTTTACTGAAGTCCCAAAGTCTGGAAGTTGGGTAATAAATCCCAAACTACTGGCTAAGGAGGGGTTTGAAGAAACACCCTCCCCCCACAGAATTCTTGCAGACTGCAGCTATTTCCATCTAAGAAGTGAAACCTGGCCCCAATAATAGCCATGAGACTTTGGGACTTTAATAAAAGGATATACTTGGTGCACAAGAAGAAGATGAATCATTATCAAAAGCTTGCTGGTTTATATATATATAGTGCTCAAATAAAGGTATTGTTCTTGCATTTCTATTATTTTATAGCATCATCACCATCATCTTAGAACTGCAGAGCTGGAAGGGACTCTATGGATCAAGTCTAGTCCTTGTCAAGGAGGCACAGTGGGGAATCAAACTCCCAATCTCTGGCTCCGCAGCACGATACCTAAAATATGACAAGACCAGGCTGTGAAATCGAACAGTATACAGGAAAGAACATTTGGTGTTCATTGAGAAAAAGGTAGAAAGCAGCTGTAGTTTGCATTGTTGGTTGGCAGGTAGACTATACATGAGAACTGAACAAACATGGCAGACACCTGAGTTTTCTCTTAAAAGATAAGCAATTTCCCCTTTGCTCAAATGTAGACCTCCATTGTTGTTATTTTTATAGAGTTCATAGTCAGGCCAGGATGATATCTTGGGCAGATGCAGCAGGACTCTTTCGTGAATGAGTTGGCTAAACCAGAAACAGTCAGCAGAACCAGTTTCTGCCTGTTTCATCCCATTCTTCTCTTCTTGTTCAGTTATCTTGCCCTCCTTACTTGTGACTGCCTAAGGTCCCCTCAGATCAGACTTGAAGTTATGAATCAGATGCTGGAAAGAGAGCAATTTGTGAGAAGGGGGAGATCTCCATAATCCAGTGGAGCAGCAGCAACAGTCATGCCAAAACCGGTGCCTTCTACAATCTTTGAGTGATGAGCTCATCAAAAGGAATCCAACATTCAATGAGCGGTACTGCAAAAAGCCTTGCAAGTTCCAGCCTGACTAGGGAGACTGTACTGATGAGGAGAACCACTCTTCAGCTTGGGTAGGCCTAGCCTCTACAATACCTCACTATTTTTCCTCTCCCAGGGATGAATGAATGAATGACTTCATTGCGGTATAAAATCACAGAAATACAACTAGCACAGTTACAGGATCATACCCTGGTAATATACATCTCCCAGGGAAGCACTGTAAATACCCAAGTTTTGGTGTTTCAGATTGTTTGGGCTTGTACTCCCTCAGATTCTGTGACCGTTGAGCCATCTGGGAATGGAGGTTCAAAGCATCTGGTGGGTCAAAGGTTAAAACAACTGCTCTGATGGATAGCTGTAGTAGCACCCGCGTGCAAAGCAGTAGGTTCCTTCAGCTTCCAAAACTGTTGCAGGGAGGTAGTGTGGAGAGAGTGGGGAAGGAAGACTGGCTAGGACAGTTCTTGAAAAATATTTTGCTTATCTGTTTGACTTAGATGTGGCTGAGCATACCTGACTGAGTTACCCACTCTGCTGAATAGCTCAGTGGAGCCAGAGGTTGAGAGTTCGATTCCCCACTATGCCTAGGGTTGCTTTCAGCTCTGCAATTCTAAGATGCCGATTACTCATAGAATAATCACAGAATACTCAATAATCATAGAATACTCATAGAATCATCGCGTTGGAAGGGGTCTATAAGGCCATCGAGTCCAACGGCCTGCTCAGTGAAGGAATACAAATCAACTAATACAAATCTCTAATGTGGTTGCCTACGTTTCTCTTGAATCCCACCTTTCTACGTACAGTGGGGTCTTGACTTGAGAACTTAATCCGCATTGGAAGGCGGTTCTCAAGTCAAAAAGTCTGTAAGTCAAGTCTCCATTGACCTACAGTGCATTGAAAACCGATTAATCCCGTAACAGGCCGTTTTTGTTCCATTTTGGTTTTTTTCTGGTCTGTAAGTCAAATCTCAGTCCGCAAGTCAAACCTAAATTTTGCGGCCAGAGAAGTCTGTAACTCAAAAAGTCTGTAAGTCAAGCCGTCTGTAAGTCAAGGGTCCACTGCAATTGTTTCCAATACCTTACTATGCAAACAGGAAGTTTTTTTTTTCTGACATTCAAGCTAAATCTGGCTTACTGTAATTTGAGCCCTTTTTACATTCAATTTCGCGCGCGCGTGCGTGCGTGTGTGTGCGTAAAACACATTTTACTCTCAATTTT